TTTCTTCTTCAGTATTACTTTAGTCATTCAGGGTCTTTTTTGGTTCCATACAAATTTTAGGATTGTTTGTTTTAGTTTTGAGAAGAATGCCGTACAATTTTGATTGGGATTGCACTGAATGTGTAGACTGCTTTGGGTAGTACTGGCATTTAACAATATTTACTCTTCCAATCCATGAGCATGGAAAGTTTTTCCATTTCTTTTGTGTCTTCTTCAATTTCCTTCACAAGCTTTCTATAGTTTCAACATACAGGTCTTTAATATCTTTGGTTAGGTTTAGGTATTTTAGGTATTTTATGGTTCTTGGTGCAAGTGTAAATGGGATTAGTTTCTTGATTTCTCTTTCTGATGCTTCATTATTGATGTATAGAAATGCAACCGATTTTTGTACATTGATTTTGTACCCTGCGACTCTGCTGAATTCGTGTATCACTTCTGGCAGCCTTTTGGTGGAATCTTTCAGGCTTTACATGTAGAGTATCATGTCGTCTGCAAAAAGCGAAAGGTTGACATCTTTGCCAACTTAAATGACTTTTTGTTTATTTTGTTGTCTGATTGCTGAGGCTAGGACTTCCAACACTATGTTAAACAACAATGGTGAGAGTGGACATCAACATCATGTTCCTGATCTCAGGGGGAAAGCTCTCAGTTTTTCCCCATTGAGGATGATAGTAGTTTTGGGCTTTTGATATATGGCTTTTATGATGTTAATGTATGTTCCCTCTATCCTGACTTTCTTGAGGGTTTTTATTAAGAAAGGATGCTATATTTTGTCAGATGTTTTTTCTTCATCTATTAACAGGATCATATGGTTCTTATCCTTTCTTTTACTAATGTGATGTATCACTTTGATTTGTGAATACTGAACCAGCCCTGCAGCCCAGGGATGAATACCACTTGATCATGGTGAATAATTCTTTTTATATGCTATTGAATTTGATTTGCTGAATTTTCTTGTTGAAAATTTCTGCATGCATGTTCATCAGGGATATTAACCTGTAATTCCCCTTTATGTAGTGCCTCTCTCTGGTTTGGGAAGCAAGGTAATGCTGTTTTCACAGAATGAGTCCAGAAGTTTTCCTTCCATATCTATGTTTTGGATCAGCTTGAGAAGAAAAGGAATTAACTCTGCTTTAAATGTCTAGCAGAATTCCCCTGAGAAGCCATCTGGTCCAGGACTCTTATTTGTCAGGAGATTTTTGATAAGTGATTCAATTTCTTCACTACTTATGGGTCTGTTCAAATTTTCTATTTCTTCCTGTTTGGGTTTTGTTAGTGTGTGGGTGTCTAGGAATTGGTCCATTTCTTCCAGGTTGTCCAGTTTGTTGGCATATAATTTTTCATAGTATTCCCTGATAATTGCTTGTATTTCTGAGGGATTGGTTGCGATAAATCCATTTTCATTCCTGATTTTATCTATTTGGGTCCTCTCTCTTTTCTTTTTGAGAAGTCTGACTAGGGGGTTATCAATTTTATTTTTTCATTGCTCTGTTCTACTGTTTGTTTGGTTTTTTAAATTCTATATTGTTTATTTCTGCTCTGATCTTTATTATTTCTCTTCTTCTGCTGGCCTTGGAGTTTGTTAGTCTGCTTCTAGTTCCTTTAGGTGTGCTGTTAGGTTTTGTATTTGGGATTTTTCTTTTTTCTTGAGATAGGCCTAGATTGCAATGTATTTTCCTCTTCGAACTGCCTTTGCTCCATCCCAAAGGGTTTGGACTATTGTGTTTTCACTTTTATTTGTTTCCATATAGTTTTTAATTTCTTCTTTAATTGCCTAGTTGACCCATTCATTCTTTAGTAGGATATTCTTTAACCTCCATGTAATTTGGAGGTTTTTCCAAATTTTTTCCTGCGGTTGATTTCAAGTTTCATAGTATTGCGATCTGAAAATGTGCATGATATGATCTCAATTCTTTTATATTTATTGAGGGCTGTTTTGTGACCCAGTATATGTTCTATCTTGGAGAATGTACCATGTGTACTCAAGAAGAATCTGTATTCTGCTGCCTTAGGATGAAAAGTTCTGAATATATCTGTCAACTCCATCTGGTCCAGTGTATCATTCAGGGCCATTGTTTACTGATTTTCTGTCTGGATGATCTGTCCATTGCTGTAAGTGGAGGATTCAAGTCCCCTGCAATTACCACATTCTTACCAATAAGATTGCTTATGTTTGTGATTGTTTATATATTTGGGTGTTCCAAATTTGGTGCATAAACATTTATAATTGTTAGCTCTTCTTGATGGATAGACCCTATAATTATGATATAATACCCTTCTTCATCTCTTGTTACAGCCGTTGTCTGATATACATATGGCTACTTCTTCATCTCTTGTTACAGACAAAATCTAGTTTGTCTGATATATGTATGGCTACTCCAGCTTTCTTTTGACTTCCAGTAGCATGATAGATGGTCCTCCATCCCCTCACTTTCAATCTGAAGGTGTCCTCAGGTCTACAATGGGTCTCTTATAGACAGAAAATAGATGGGTCTTGGTTTTTCTTATCCATTCTGATACCCTATGTCTTTTGATTGGAGCATTTAGTCCATTTACATTCAATGTTATTATTAAAAGATATGGATTTAGAGTCATTGTGTTATCTGTAGGTTTTTTGTCTGTAGTGATGTCTCTGGTCCTTTGCAGGCTTTGCAACATTCCACTCAGAGAGTCCCCATTAGGATCTCTTGTAGGGTTGGGTTAATGGTGATGAATTCCTTCAGTTTTTGTTTATCTGGGAAAACCTTTATCTCTCCATCTGTTCTGAATGACAGGCTTGCTGGATAAAGGACTCTTGGCTGCATATTTTTCCTATTCAGCACATTGAAAATTTCCTGCCATTCCTTTCTTGCCTCCCAAGTTTCAGTACATAGGTCTGCTACTACCCTTATGTGTCTATCCTTGTAAGTTAAGGTCCATTTGTCCCTAGCTGCTTTCAGAATTCTTTAGCTGTCATTTCTTCCTGGAATTTCTTTTGAGGAGAATTCTCCTGTTTCATCATTTTGGCTAGTTTTGTCCCTTATGTGTTTTAAAAGCTTGTTATGTGTCCTGCACCTGCGAGCACTACTAAATTAAAGAAGGGTCATACACTCTCCAGGGCCCTTCAGGAGGTGTTTTTTGGAGTGTGTTACTTGCTCTTTGTTGTTGTGACTCTTGTTACTTTATCTCCCTACACTTAGTAATGTTTTGGACCCTTCCCAAGGTGTGCTTTGATTTGTTGGTTGAAGTAGCCCTGAATACTTCCAGAACAGTCCTTTCTGATAACTTGGGAGCCACCTGCCTAAATGCTTTCTTGAAATCTTCCAAAGTTAAATATCCACAATAGTGCCTGTCAAAAGCTGTGAAGATGTGTCTTATTTCATTGTGATGGAGCAGAACTTCCTTCATTTTGTTACAATACTTAAAAATTCCTCAAGTAATAGGCATTGTCACACTTTCTCACGATTTACCTTCAACCACTCCAGCCTGGCCTCTGCTGTCACCTGGTACCTAAACTGCTCTTGCAGGCCACCAACTCCAATGGACCAGAAGTCTAAAATAATTTTGAATTGCAAGGAAGATATATTTTTTTTCCTATGATCTAATGGAAATGGTTACAGTGTTTACTATTGATTTGGGGTAGCCTTTAATAGTTTAAGTAATTTATTTTTTAATGAGTTTTTATTAGGAATGAGTTTGCATGAAATGCTACAGATTTATGTATATTAATTTTGTACCCTGTAATTTTACTCAACTCATTGATCAGTTCTAGTAGTTTTTTGGTGAAGTCTTTAAGATTTTCTATATATAGTATCACGCCATCTGCAGATAGTGATTGTGTTACTTCTTCCTTACCAATCTAGATGCCTTGTCTTTCTTTATCTTGTCTGATTGCTCTGTCTAGGACTTTCAGTATTATGCTGAATAAAAGTGGTGAGAGTGGACATCCTTGTCTCCTTCCTCTCACTTGTTCCCCATTGAGGATGATGTTAGCTGTGGGTTTTTCACTATGGCTTTTATTATGCTGAGGTATGTGCCCTCTAAACCTAGTTTGTTGAGGCTTTTTATCATGAATGAATGTTGTAATAATTTACATAGTGCTTTATAGATCAGAATATATTTCCTTGTTTAAACTTCAAGACAGTGTTATGACATAGCTTTTTTTAGTATTTATAGAAATATTTTAAATACTATTATTATTATTATTAATGCATTTAATTTGATGAAAGTAAATAAAGACAAAATATATTGGAATTCAGTAAAAGGAGTATTGAAGAAGTGTCAAGCTGGAAGAGAGCAATGTTTTAAGTGTTGAACATATTCTAGCTTAGTTCCATCAGACACTTCAAATTATGGAAAATGTTAATATTCATTTTATTTTTAGTTGAGCCACACAACAAACCTAAGTAGTAGGTAGTGAAGGTATCATTTGACAGGTGATGAAAATAAAGTTCATCAAAATGATTTGTTCAAAAACACAGAACTAGTAAGTTAAAGAACCAATGTTAGAACCCAGGTGTTTTGTTTCGTTGTTTTGTTTTTTAACCTCATGATGAGGAGACAAAATCCAGAAACTGAGAGTAGAACTTAATACCAGGGAGGAAAGAGCCACATAGCCTAACCTGAGGGTCAGAAATAATAATTTCCAACTGCTTATTAGGATATAACCCAAAGGAGATAAATTTACTTTGTACCCACATTTTCTAGAGTGCATCTAAAGGATATACGTATTTTTAGTTCCCCCAAGTTAACCTCATATCCTAAGTATTGAAAGCAAGTTACATGAATCTTCTCATATTGAAAATCAAATATCAACAAAACTGCTAGATCAAATTGGCCATTTGACACAAAAAAAGATGATTTGCTAAAGATTGTTAGTTGCTACTAACAAATTCAATGTATAAGTAGAATAAAATTTAATAAATCTAGTTACATTTCAGAAAGGCAAGCCCAAGGACCCTCATGTTAACCTTACCTAAAGCTTTATTTATCCAGTATATTTATCAAATATACTTTCTTACCATAATATTGTAGTTGACATTAATGGTCTCATTTTCATAAGGGGTGTTCATCTGAGCAGGTTTAATATCATTCTTTCCTTTCCTTACAACATCATAGATGGGATTTCGAGGTTGCTGGTTTTGTAGAATTTTTTTCAGTTGCTTTTCCAGAAGTTGTGGAGCATTGTTAACTACTTCAAAAACTCCGTAATCCGCATTAAATCTAATTGCCTCTGAAAAGGTCTGTAAAATAGATTTGCGAAAATAATGTCTTAAATTTGCATAAACCAGAAACTCACTGTCTCAAAAAAGGCTTGAAACTTACATATATGCATATATACATACACAAAATTTTGTGTACTTAATCATTACCTCTTTTGGGAGCTTGGAAATCTCTTGACTACATATAAGGAAACCCACTGAATCCTTCCTTTCCAATGTACTTATGCCATGAAATAAGGATGTATTATGGCAGAAATTCCCTTTGCATAAATATCTCTTGTTTCTTTGGAATGGGAAAAAAAATACACACCTGGTCTCTATGAAGCAATGTTATTCTCTTAGGAGCGGGTGGATTACTAGGGAAGAATGAGTAAAGAAAGAAGAAATAACACTCCCGTTATCTCTTTCATCCCCAGGAGCCATGAAAGCTAAAGTCTCCCTTGCCCAAAAGGATAAAATTAAGTACAATGTGTTCTTCATTTAAGACTATTTCAACACCATTCCTCTCACTGTGAAAAAAAAGAGAGAGAGCGAATGAAAGACAATAACATTTCTAAGCTTTTCTCAGTAATTACTAAATGCTGCCAAGTTTTATTTAAAGTCAGTCAGTTAATATACAACAGTCAGGAGTCTGGAGTTTGAATGCCAATTTGCACATAAGTAGCTCTGTAATTTTGAGTAAATAATTAAACATGTTTGGAGTCTCCATCTCTGTAACAAATAAATAGAGGATTGACTGTGTCTTTTCCCATTTTGCCCTCCAAACCTAGAATCAAGTTCCTTTGTCAGAATATTAATTTATTTTAGGATACCTTCAGTGAACTATGCACTCATGCAGATTAATTTATAAATTTTAAGCCAGGTGGTAGAAGATATCTAGCCCTTCCCCTTGGGTCAATACATGTCCTAGGGAGAGCAGCAATTCTTTCAAATTTTACTAAGAGATTGCTAGTTCTACCATAATTAGAATTTAATAAATGGTAGGATGTCATAACATTGGAATACATACATTAGAAACGTGTGTACATACATAAAAATATCCACATATACATGTATGTATATGTACATATTTTTTAAATTATTTTTTTACATTTATCCATTTTTGAGAGACAGAGTATGAGAAGGGAGGGGCAGAGAAGAGGGAGACACAGAATCTGAACCAGGTTCCAGGCGCTGAGCTGCCAGCACAGAGCCCGATGCAGGGCTCAAACCCACGAACCATGAAATCACTACCTAAGCTGAAGTCGGGAGCTTATCTGACTGAGCCATCCAGGCGCCCCAGTACATACATATTTTTTTTAATGTCAGATAACATCACATCTCTAAAATCATCTCCCCTTCTAAGGAATTTAAAGTTCACGAACAATAGAATTCAATATGAAAGTCAGTCTACCGGCCAAAAGGACTCAGTGTTAAGATTTCCCTTCAAGGGGCGCCCGGGTGGCTTAGTTGGTTAAGCGTCCGACTTTCGCTCGGGTCATGATCTCGCGGTTTGTGGGTTCGAGCCCCGTGTCGGGCTCTGTGCTGACTGCCAGCTCAGAGCCTGGAGCCTGTTTCAGTCTGTGACTCCCTCTCTCTCTGACCCTCCCCTGCTCACGCTCTCTCTCTCTCTCCTAGAAATAAATAAAACATTTAAAAAAAAAAAAAAGATTTCCCTTCAAAAATGACTTGTATAGGTCAATGGACAAGTGACAAGTACCAGTAAATTGTGTATAAGTTTTCTTCAATAAATATATTTCAGTGCATCTGTCTTTCAGACATGAGAGTCAAACAGGCATTACTTACCTGAATGTCAAATATGATCTCTGAATTATACTATCACTAAACAGATAAATGAGTCTGCTGATACCAGAGACAAGATTCATCTGGCAGGAGAAAGCATCTGAATTAAGCTTGGTAGAGAATGGACATAAAATATTAGCCAGGGTGGGGGAAACAGTATAGTATACTGCTAAAGACCATCTGGAAAAGATTTCTTCTAGTTCTGAGTATCCATGGAACAAGAGAGCAAGTTTGGCTTTTATTTGTTTTCCTTTCTTTCTGCTGCCTCCTACCCTCATACCTGGTGGACTGAGTAACACAAAGCTGTGATAACCCAAAGCCAAGAATGCCGATTAGTTAGTTCTATGAACAAATAAGATATTTCCTGCTACTCAAGTTAGAAAAATAATGACCAATAAAAACAAATTTAGAGGGACTGCAACACTCTGAGGCCCTCAGTAGCCAATGTTACTCAGTAGTAAGTAATTAAGGTACAGAGGTAGAAATAACAGGGGAGGGGGCGCCTGGGTGGCTCAGTCAGTTAAGCATTCGGCTCAGCTAATGATTTCACAGTTCGTGGGTTCAAGCCCCACGTTGGGCTAGCTTAGAGCCTGGAGCCTGTTTCAGATTCTGTGTCTCCCTCTCTCTCTGACCCTCCCCTGATCACGCTGTCTCTCTCTCTCAGAAATAAATTAAAAAAACATTAAAAAAATTTTTTAATTAAAAAAAAGAAATAACAGGGGAGACAAGAACTACCATTAACTGGATATCTACCATGTGTGAGCACGTGACAAGACACTTCAAATGCACTATCCTTCCACATTTCTGAGATCACTCTTCATTCAAAGTGGACACTCAGGATGGTTATGTGATGGGCCATAGATTCAGAGCTATGAATTGCTAAATCAGGACTACTGAAACAAGTCTATCTGGCCCCAAAGACAGCACATTTCCTCTTCTTTACAATTATATTGCCTCACATACTGATAAAACTAGCATACACTAATCGCCTTCTCTAGGCCAGGCACTGTGTTAAGCAATAATCCTATAAACTTAGTGGAGCTGGGATTTAAACCAAGGTGTTTTATCAGTAAAGACACAGAGGTATGGGGCGCCTGGGTGGCTTAGTCGGTTGGGCGTCCGACTTTCGCTTGGGTCATGATCTCGCGGTTCGTGGGTTCAAGCCCCGCGTCGGGCTCTGTGCTGACTGCCAGCTCAGAGCCTGGAGCCTGTTTCGGAGTCTGTCACTCCCTCTCTCTCTGACCCTCCCCTGCTCACACTGTCTCTCTCTCTCCTAGAAATAAATAAAACATTTAAAAATTAAAAAAAAAAAAGACACAGAGGTATGAAGCAGCATGGTGCATGTGGGTAATTGTCAGCAGTTCCATGTAGTAGAATATAACTAGAATAGCTCATAGTTGAAATTGTTTAAGGAACAAAGGAAAGACTTGAGGTAGATGAGATAGATAGGACCAAATCATGGACGGCTTTGCACACCATTTTAAGAAGGATAAGCTCATCTTGATCCTTGAAATAGGGTGGAATGGGAAAATCCTAAATTGGGGAGTAAATCTGATTGGTGTTTTAGGAAGATTCTCCTGGTAGCAGTCTGGAGTTTTGTTTGCTGGCTCTTGAGTTGGTGAGGAAGAATGCTCACATCCCACAAGCAGAGCCATCACAATGCTCTGTTACCTCAGAGCTACTGGCTATTACCACCAGAGCCAGGGCCAGTGTGGCAATTATTAACTCGCTTGCATGGGTCACTGTCTCCAGCACACACAGAGGCTAGGGCAGGCTGTAAGGCAGGTAGTTAGCAATTACTTTCATTTTCAACTCACAAAGCAAAACTACAGCTGAAAAAAGTTAAGTGATCTCTTCATGGATTTCCAGCACGTCCCCTGGTAAGCACACTGCAGAACTCCAGGTTCAGGACTACAGAGTGCTTTAAACCCTGGGCTGACACGTAATTTCAGTAGGCGTCAGTGGATGCTGTGGATTAGCTCACTCCGGATCTGTTCCAACCGCCCGAAACACAGAATCTGGACAACTAAAAAACGTAGCACCCGGACTCCTCTGTAGTTCAAGTTACACGTGTGACTCGCTTCTGCTATTCATATGCACGAAATACTTGAATTCTGAAGCAAGTCAAGTAAGGAAAGAGGTAGGGCCTATCCACCCTGAGGAAGGAAAGCCGAACGACATAAGCACATGAAAGTGAGGAGAGAACCAGGACAAAAAGAAGTATTTTACACACACAAGAAAAAAAGACAACAGAAGGAAAGCTGTTAACTAATTGTGTCCATGATTAAATGACATGAAATGTAGCTAAATAAGATGTTAAAATATTTAAAATTTTTAAACTTAAGAATTTGTCTCAGTGGGGGGCACCTGAGTGGCTCAGTCAGTTGAGCATCTGACTTCAGCTCAGGTCATGATCTCACGGTTCATAAGTTTGACCCCCACATTGGGTTTTCTATTGTCAGTGCAAAGCTGGCCTCAGATCCATTGTCCCCCTCTCTCTGCTCCTCCCCACCCCCTCAAATAAATAAATAAATAAATAAACAAACATTTTTTATTTTTTTTTATTTTTTTATTTTTTTGGGTTTTTTTAATTTTTATTATTTTTTTTACAAATAGTTTATTGTCAAATTAGTTTCCACATAACACTCAGTGCTCATCCCCACAAGTGCCCTCCTCCATGCCCATCCCCCCCTCCCCCCCACATCCATCCGTCCTCAGTTTTTGTCAGCATTCAAGTCTCTCATGGTTTGCCTCTCTCCTTTTCCCCCACCATTTCCGCCCTTCTTCTCCCCCTTGGTCCTCCGTCAAGTTCCTCCTAATCCTCCTATACGTGCAAACATATGATATTTGTCCTTCTCTGCCTGACTTATTTCACTCAGCATAACACCCTCAAGGTCCATCCATGTTGCTACACATGGCCAGATTTCATAGTTTCTCATTGCCATGTAGTATTCCATGGTATAGATAAACCACATCTTCTTGATCCATTCATCTGTTGATGGACACTTAGGCTCTTTCCATGTTTTAGCTATTGTGGAGAGTGCTGCTATGAACATTGGGGTACATGTGATCCTATGCCTCAGCATTTCTGTATCCCTTGGGTAAATTCCTAGCAGTGCTATTGCTGGGTCATAGGGGAGTTCTATTGTTAGTTTCCTGAGGAACCTCCACACTGTTTTCCAGAGGGGCTGTACCAGTTGACATTCCCACCAACAGTGTAGGAGGGTGCCCGTTTCTCC